AGACAAGGCCCGCGGGCCGACCCACGAGGAGAGCGGTGCCCAGCAAGACGAGGTTCAGGGGCTTGCGCCCTACCCAAGACAGGGATCAACGGGATGCGCCCTCCCCCTTTCGCACAGTTGGGTCCTGGGGCCTGCGCCCTACCCGACACACAGGGATCAACGGGATGCGCCCTCCCCCTTTCGCACCACTGGGTCCTGGGGCCTGCGCCCTACCCAAGACAGGGATCTACGGGATGCGCCCTCCCCCCTTCGGACCATCGGGCCCTGGGGCCTGCGCCCTACCCAAGACAGGGATCAACGGGATGCGCCCTCCCCCTTGCGCGCGATAGGGTCCTGGGGCCAGCGCCCGACCCAAAACACAGGGATCCTAAGGCCTGCGCCCTCCCCCACGCGAAACTTGGCCCTGGGGCCTGCGCCTTACCCGAGACCAGGAGCGCCCTTGCCGCGAGCCTGGCACGCAGCCTGGCCGAAAGGCCAAGGCGACGCGAGCGAAGTGCCCACAGGGCCCGCGCCAGCGAGGGCCTGCGCCCAAGAGGGAGACGAGCCACCGGCAAAACGACGAGGGAGCAGGCAGGCAAGCAGGCAACCGCCAGGCACGAAGGCAGAAGCAGCAAGGCAGGCGCCAAGCGGCAGGCGGCGGAAGGGAAAGCAAAGGGGGCACGCAGGGGCGACGGCGACGGGAAAAGCGAGGCAAGCGGGACGCCGAGCGAGCGAGCAAGCACGCCGACAAGCACAAGCCGGGACGACCCCACGCGAGGCAACAGCGACAGCCGAACGCGAGGGCGACAAGGCGACGACAAAGGCGGACGCGAAAAAGGACGCGGCGACGAGCAAACACAAGGGCGCGCAGGCGAGCGAAGAGCAGGGGCAGCCACGGCGCACGAGCAGGGCACGACGGGCAACGAGCACAAGCGAGCAGCGGGGGAGCGAACAGGCCACGAGGGACGAGCACGGAGGGCAGGCAAGCAGGAGAGAGCGAGAGAGAGACTAGGCGACCCGCGAGGAGAGGAGGAGAGGAGGAGCCCGCGAACGACGGCGGCGGCGCGCGCGCGCGCGCGGCGCGCCCCACGCTCAAAACCCGAGCGCGGGGCGACAGGGAGGCACCCGCCGCGCGCCAGGGAGGCACCCGCCGCGCGCGCGCGCGCGCGGGGCGCGCGCGCGGCGCCTCCTCCAAATGCAAATCGCCTGCGAAACGCACGCGCCGCGGGGGCAGCGACCCCCCCCCGCGGCGACGCAACCCCGGCGCTAGCAAATCACCTGCGAAGCGCACGCGCCGCGGGGCAGCGACCCCCCCCCCGCGACGCGCAACCCTGGCGCGCGACGGCGCGATGGCCCGCGCCTGCGAACGCGGTCGCGTCGCACTGCCGCGCGCGCGACCTACGCGCAACCGTGGCCGATTTGTGCCCGCCCACAACGGTGAACGTCCGCGTCTGCGAGCGGACTTGCCGCCGTGGGCCTACCTAAAAATATGTGCGGGGCCATGGCTGGCCAAGCGAGATCCCGCGCAGTTCGCGGCGCAGGGCGCGCGAAAACAAATGTCGCCAACAAAGAGAATGTGCATGGCACCGTTCTGAGTTGCATGCGCGCGCCGCTGGGCAATGGCATGGCACTCGGCAATTGGGCGCGCAAGCCTGGGCCGTGTCTTTGTTCGCGCGGCAAGACGACCGAGCCGTTCAGGGAGTCTATGCGCCGCCAACTTCAAGTGCGCCCATGCCCCATGACCGAATTATGGAGCATTACTTCTTAATCTGATGGGACCAGCCGCGCGACCCCCTCGAAGGGCAAGGGTTGTCGCGGGGTCGATGTTATGCATTGGAGCGCCGCTGAAATTGATGACTCCCCAATCTAACGAAGACGCGTGGTTCGCGCTGAGCACCGCGCGGTGTGACGAGATAAAAGACATGCCAGGTAGGATTGGGCAATCCATCAAGCTGAATATAAATGTCATGTTTATAAAAATAAAAAAAAACACAACAGGGCGGGTGGCGCTAAGTGTAAAACAAGCGGTGTTCCGTTGGACGTGTCCGTGGGCGGCGACGCCACGCCGCGCGCGACGATTGTCGCGAAGTTGCCTCGTGTCATGAGCGACGAAGAAACGCCGCAGGAATTGCATGTGAATAGGGGACGCGCCGGCTCGAAGCCTCGCGCTCTGCGCCGGAGCGTTCCCAACAAATTATCCCGGCAAAGCAACCTAACAGCGATGTGTAGAAGCATATATGAAAGCATTCCCCTTAAGATTCAGATGAAAATCCAGTTGTCGAAATCTGCTGTTCTCGCAGTCGTAATCGCATTCGCGATGACAGTCGCAGCGGTAACGGCAGTCGCAGTCACAGCCTCAGCCTGCCTCAGCCTCAGCCTCAGCCTGCCTCAGCCTCAGCCTGCCTCAGCCTCAGCCTCAGCCTGCTTCAGCCTCAGCCTCAGTCTGCCTTCAGCCTCGGCCTCAGCCTCAGCCTGCCTCAGCCTCAGCCTGCATCAGCCTCAGCCTCAGCCTCAGCCTGCCTCAGCATCAGCCTGCTTCAGCCTCAGCCTCAGCCTGCCTCAGCCTCAGCCTCAGTCTGCTTCAGCCTCAGCCTCAGTCTGCCTTCAGCCTCGGCCTCAGCCTCAGCCTGCCTCAGCCTCAGCCTGCCTCGGCCGCAGCATCAGCCTGCCTTAGCATTCAAAATGTGGCCCAGGAATGGAGTTCTGGGAGCTAGAAGAATACGAAGTGGCCTACAGTTGGCTCCGGGCATTCAAAATCATGCCCAAGAATGGAATTCTGGGAACTTGTACAGTTGGCTCCGGGCATCTAGAATGTGGCCCGGGAATGGAGTTCTGGGAAATCGAAGAGCACGAAGTGGCCTACAGTTGGCTCCGGGCATCCAAAATGTGGCCCGGGAATGGAGTTCTGGGAAGTCGAAGAGCACGAAGTGGCCTACAGCTGGCTCCGGGCATCCAAAATGCGGCCCGGGAGTGGAGTTCTGGGAGCACCAGGGGCGATTTCGCGAGGATGTCCCAAGCGATTTGGGCTTCGGCGGCCCCCTGAGGAGTCATGATGTTCTCTTTTGAGACCACTAGAAACCTATCAGCAAGAGCTGTTCAGTAAAAATCAGATCACACTGCGTGCGATGCGTCGGGTATGTACGTGTCAGCCACACGCTTAGACAACTCCAAGATCCTCAGAAATGACGGCACGATCATCCTCGCGATTCTTGGGCGGCTTCGCCCCGAGTGGGAGCGACATCAAAGAGGTGGATACCCAGTGGGGCAGTGCGCGACCATCACTCAGCTGAAGGTGCGGAAGCCCCACCTTGAGCACGTAGCACTGGACCCAGGTTTAAGGTCTATGGTTGCATCCTTCCTGTGTTTCGATCGGATGCGCATTTATTTTGTAAGCAGTGTCTTCGACCGCGAAGTGCGAGCAATGCTAGAGCATGCGGCGTTCAGGAAGCTGTGTGATGCAATGCAACTGACTTGCATGACCATTTCATCAAGTGGACGTGGCCCAGCGAACATCATTCGGAAGCCAAGGCGTGGAAAACAATTGAGCTCCAGGCGGGTGCTTCGGAGGAGCTCTCAATATTACCTGAGTGTGTAGATACATGCGGCAAGCCACTGCCAGGCTGCCTGCAGCCGATGCAGTGGCCCCCAGATATCAAGCATGCTGGCATTGCAAGACGTCGTTGTTTAGACAATCGCGGCTGCGCGGCGCATTCCTTGCACTACCACGCAGATCGAGGCAGCTGTGTTGAAACATCTTCGCTGCCATCTGCAGGCCTACGGTGAACGGTACTGGGTTTATAAGCATCACATGTCTACCCATTCAGCAACCACATTTGAACGGCATGGGTCGCTGAGCTGTTTCGTCCAGGAACGCAAACACAAGTTTGCAAAACGTTTCTCTCAATACCACATGTGCAAGCAGCGGCCCGAGAAGGCCTTAATGGTGCAACTCACGGCGCGGCACGCTCACGACTTGAAGACCCTGCGCATCTCAGTAGGTCTGAAGACGCCACTACAGTAACACAGAAGTTGCTGAATGCGTTGGAATGCATGCGTCCTGGTACGCAGAACACCGCCTCAATCATAGAAGCCCACACAGCGTATGGGCGCATCAGGCGAAGTGATATCGTGCTTTCGGGGTTTCGCAACGATCATTTAGCAGTGCAAGTTTGGTTCCACGTGGTGTGCGACGACGACGAGTCGCATGCGCAAGTGCTAAGGTTGCTTACTAAACATGTCGATGCTACCGATAGTGTTTCAATGCCTTCGTACAAGACTCAGACCATGTAGTGTTCTTGTCCGCGCGTGAATCGAAGACGACACCACGTGTACTTGCCCAATTGAATACAACTTTCGGTGTTGCAAATCTTCACCTTTGCGAATCGCCGTGTGCCCTCGGTTGGACAAAGTCCACGGCATGCCATGCGAGAGGATGCCAGATCACTGCAGAGCCCAATCAGATTCCCCTACTTCTGAACTCGAGTTATTATACAAACGCAACATGAAGAGCTCAACAAACAGACGTGCAAGGCAAACGCCTAACTAGTTATAACTATGTTGTAGCTAGGTATGACTCCCGCTCGCACTTACTAACTAACATGATCCTTCAGGCAATTCCTGGTTCCTGGGTTCCCTTCACTATTGCTCCTCCATGGTGGGGGGGAGGGGGAAGAGAAGGAGGAGGAGGAATACCGGACGGACGGGCGAACGAACGATCAGCCCTCGGATCCCGCTGAATGGTCTCCTCACAACCTGCGCTGCACCAGGCTCCTTGCCCTGAGGAGGTGGGGGAGGAGGAGGAGGAGGAGGAGCAGGAGGATGATGAGGGGGATAATGAGGCGGAGGACGCGGATGAGGAGGAGGAGGAGGAGGAGGAGGAGCAGGAGGAGCAGGAGGAGGAGGAGGAGAAGGACGAGGAGGATGAGCAGGAGGAGGAGGAGGAGGAGGAGGAGGCTCTCTGAACGAGACACTCCCTCCTCACCGCTGCCCCCCCCTCGAGGGAGGGGGGGGGCGGGCTCGGCCTGATCTCCCTGACGGACACATGCTGGCGGGACAGCTCGGGCCTGCGCGGGCCGCGGGCACCCAGCAGCCCCTGGCCCACCTCCACCCCCTCGAGGGTCGGTCGAGGATCGGGGATCGATCGAACGATCGATCTCCGACCCTCCCTCGAGGGATCGGGCAACGATGCATTAAAGATCTAAGGGGAACGGGATCCACCCCTTCGAGGGTCCGGCGAGAATCGGGGATCGATCGAACGATCGTTCTTCAAGCCTCCCTCGAGGGATCGGGCAACGATGCACTGAAGATCTAACGTGATCGGGCCGTTTGAAGCTCGAGGGTCGAAGGAGGACCGATCGAGGATAGAGGGTCGATCGGGGATCAAGGGTCGAAGGATGGTGAACCGAGTTTTGTTTGAGGGAGGGGTGCTTCGCCCCTCTTCCAACCTCTCATGTTCCCTCCTCCTGCGCTCCCTTCTCCCCCCTCCTTCCGTCCTCGTCCTAGTCGTGTTCAACGTCGTTGCCTTCCTCCTCCCCCTCCTCCTTCTCCTCCCCCTCTACCTCCTCCTCAATCCGTTTTCCTTGCAAACAGCCCCTCCCATATGCACCCCCAGGCGCGTCAGCAGGGCGGGCTGGGCATGTCGCCTGAGACTCCGACGTCCTCACCATGTCTGGCCCTGGAGCTTGAACCTCACAGCAGCCTCAAGGATGCAGGGCGGAACGTTCTCAAAATGTGGCTCCCGACTTGGCGCCGCACGCGCTCGCCTTACACATTGCCATCTGCTTCGGAGGTGGAGGACGGGCCCTTCTCAAAGCGTGCCTCTCGCCGGAGCGCCGCGCACGTTCGTTTTGGAGCGTTTGCACAAGCTTCCAGGACGGAGGGCGGGCCTTTTCAAAATGCGGCTCTCGCCCGCGTGCCGCGCAGAGTCGTCCTCAACGTCTGCAGCAGCTTCAGGCATGGAGGGCGGCTGGTTTTCAAGAGGCGGCTCTCGCCTGAACGCCGCACGCATTCGTTTCCAACTTGCAGCCGCTCCACATATTCGAACGGTCGAAATTTGCAGGAATTGCGTTCTGGCGCGACTTAGGACGTGAAGACACAACCGTATCATTGATTCGGGGCGTTGACGTACCATGAACGGTGTTCTCGCACGAATTGGCATTGTCAAGACGCAACAATTACATTGATTCGAGGCGTTGAAGTCACGGGAATGGTGCTCTGGCACGATTGAGAATTCTCAGGTGGTTGTCCTCCAATGGGGCACTTCCCGCAATGAAGCACCAATTATTGTAGGGACCTGTGAAGAGGGAACTTGGTGGGAATGCTTATACCGTTGATGCGTCTTGGGCTTTCACGGGTCCTCATCCTCCTCGTCCTCCACCTCTGGTGGGACATCCTTGGGAGGGTCCTGGAGCTGATATGCGAGGACCTCCCATGCGAGAGCGCTATCCGCATGACTTCCTGGCGCGGCCGCTGCTCAGGCCAGGTTTGGAAAGTAGTGCTGGGATATGCGACTGGGCTCGTGTTGCTGCACGCTCGGCCTCCATCTGTCGCGCAGCCTGCGCCTTCGTCAGGGCCTCCAGGCACCAGATGCGGCGTCTGTGGGATGGAGCGGTGACTGAAATGACGCTGGTCAGGACCTTTCCCCCCGCGCTGGCGTCGCACTCCGACTCCAGCTGGTTCGCCGACGCTACCTGCTGCCATCGGCGCCGCCCACTGGGGCCGCGGCGAGCGCGCGCGCCGCCCCTCCCGAACCGGTCGGCCGCCGGGGCCGAGCGGCGGAGAGATGGTGCTGCGAGAACGGGGCGGCCGCGGCTCGCGAGCCACGCCTCCGACGCCGACCCGCGCGCGGCTGCTCGCGGTGCTCCTGGCCGCCGCCCCCGCAGAGAATGTCGGCGCGCACGGCGCCGCCCCTGCCGCGGCCGCGGGGCCGCAGGCTGGCGGATCCCGGAGCCCGCCGGGCATTGCGGGCCACCGCGCGCAAGAAACCCGACCCTTGGCGGGCGCGGCCGCAAGAAGCCCTCGCAAGAAACCCAACCCTGAAAGCCCGCGCGCGACGTGCACCGGAGGGGAATCCAGGAGCACCCTGAACGCAGCAGCTCCTTGAGCGGCTGCGGGAAGTCGCCGCGCAACGCGCGGAGCGAAGGAACCCAGGATACCCTGACGAAAAGTATACGGTTTCTTGATGCGCGCCCACACTGTATGCTAGGCAACATCCGTCAGGCTAGCGAGCTCCTGAGGATCTGTGAAACGGTCGACGCTTCTTTCACCGGCCCAGCGGCCTGGCACATTGCGGGAAAATTTCCATGGCGGGGCCCAGCGTGCACTCGTCTTGAGGACCTCACCCTTTCGAACCCCCTTCGCCGCGCTCCACGGGACAAACGGGCCATCGGCCAGCCCTGGTCGACAGCGTGGGCCTCGATTTCTGGCAGTTGGCAAGGGCTGCTCGATGGCCCGTCAGATTCGGGATATTATTCGAGAGATCGCGGCCCTGATTCTTGCCTGCCGTCTTCATGCGAGTGTTCGCTGGATCTCGCCCGAAAGGACCCCAACGGACAACCCGACCAGAAGCCGCAACGACATCAAGCTGCAAGACGATGGCGGGCGTCTCCCAACTGCCGGGGATGGGCATCGCGCTGCTGCCCCTCATCGAGGACGACTCTAAGGAGGACGAGATGGATGAGGAGGACTATCAGAACGACGGCGACGACGACGACAGCGACGATGACGGCAAGAGTCAACCACGAATAGTTTGGCGGTCTTTCGCTCTGAGAGCCTTTCGGAACCATCCGGGAGTTTCTGGGGCCCTCTTCTTCGGCTAGCTTGAACCATACGCGCCGGTCGTTGAAAGGAGGCAGTTTTGGATGCCCAGATCCCAATCTACTTTAGGCCCCTTCCTACTTCAAAGAGTCGAGTGGTTTTCCCCTCTTCCGTTCTCTTTAGGGAGCGGGCGGAAACCCAATCTACTTCCAACGCCTTCCTACTTCATGTTTCTGCCCATTTCTTCCGACCGACGGCTAGTAGAAGCCCGTAAGTCTATCTTGGCATCGCGCTGCTGCCCATCATCCTGGTTTCCCCGACCCCCGCGCGGTTGGCCCCTTGCCGGGCGCGCGCGTCGGCGAGGACCTCGTGGATCTGGACGACCTCGCTGGGGGGCCCCCTGGCGGCAGCTGCCGCAGCGAGGAGGCCCCGGCGCCGGACGTCGTCGCGCCGCGTGGCGCTCCTCCCGGGCCTACCCCAGCACGCGCACCTCGAGTGCCGCTCGGCCGCGACCGCGAATCGGAATGGCTTCTGCGAGCGCACGCATGCCTTCTCAGGGTGGGTCGAGAAATCGAAGCTAGGCTGGCCGTCGACCTCGGGCCTGGACGACGCGCAAGCGTGGTACGTGGACAACCTGTGCTTTGCGGGGGCCCGGGACCAGAGCGTCGCGCTCGAAGATGTCGTCTTCCTCCGCGACTGCCCGAAGTGGCTACTGCCAGGCGCCCGCGCTGCTGGCCGCCATCTTCGAAGGCGGCACGCCGCTCCCACAGGCGCTGTGCCTGGCGATGGCCCGGTGCTGATTGGGAGAGTGGTGAGTGTCAGGATTCGCCGAGCTTGGAGGCGGGCTGTGGGCTCCGCTACCGCCTTCCGAATGAGGCCGGTGAGGCCGGAATGTCTGAGCCAACGCGAGCCCATGGCCTTGCAGCTGTGTCTGTCGATATATACAAGCAGCCCTAGTTTGATTTAAACCGCCGCGTCATCCAGACGACCTTGTCTGGATGGATTACCAGTGGCATGGTTGCTGGTGTCTGGATTGGCATCTCTCGCCGCACCTGGCCCCAAACCCGCCACGCCACGCCCCTCCAGGCTCTAGCTGGCGCCGCCTCCAGCGTAGCTCTCAAGTGGGACACTGATAACCTCGAGCCTCGGGCCTCAGAGGCCTGCGCGGGAAGCAACTCTCAGTTCAGACTTTGTTTGCGAATGGACCAGGCTTGTCTCGGAGTCAGGACCCCAGCGGCCATGGGGATCCCAGAGGCCGTCTGGACATGGCTGACCCCATCCTTTACAACGCTTGTCTAAACGATCCGGCAGCCACTGTTGCATCACTGGCTCGTGTAGTTTCGGGGTTCGGTAGCGCAAGAGAACCCGTGTCCAGATCTGGGCCTCCGTTTCTTCCCTGAAGTCGCCCTCCCTCTGCCAAGGACGCGGAAGAATATGTAGCTACTCCAGAAAAAGCCCCACCCACATCGTGTTTACGGGGGTATACCAGAACTTCGGCAAATTGTGGACGAGAGTCGCGGAGCCTCACCCTGTTCGGTTTTACCACGTGCTCGCCCTAGCGATACGATGCATAGCTTGTAACAGTGGCAACGAATCAACCATCTGAGGCACTTGACCATCTACCCTACTCTACTCTACTCTGCTCTGCACTACTCCACCGTACTCTACTCTGATCTACTTCGCTGTACTCCATTCGACCCTGCCCTTCCACACGTTATCTTACTCGACCCTACTCTAATATACTTTTCTGTACTCTGATTTGTTCCTAATCTGCCCTGCCCTGCTCCAACTCTGCTCTACCCTACCCTCCTCTGCCAACCCTACTCTATTATACTCTACGTTGTTCTACTCTACTCTACTCTACTCTAGTCTGCTCTGATGTACTCGTCTCTTCTTCTCTGTTCGGAACTACTCTGCTCTACTCACCTCCACCCACGACTGCTAGACGATTGCTGGGGCGCGAATGGGATAACCACAGGACGCCATTGGCATGGCAGAGGAAGCCATGCGGATACAGGGGAAGCCATGCGGGTAGCAGTGGAAGCCTTCCGGATACAGAGGAGACCATGCGGACGCAGAGAAAACCATGCGGATAGATTAACAAGAAAGCAGAAATGTTGAAAACTGCGGTTGACTGACGTAGACTGGACTGGGCTGGGGTGGACACTACTCCCGTAAACCTTGCTCTGCTCTACTCTACCCTGTTCTACCCGATTCGACGCTACCGTTTACCCTGCTCTGTCCTACCCTACTCTGTTCTACCCTACAATACTCTACCGACCCAAGCCGAACCTACTCTACTCTAGCCTGCCCCACTCTAAACTATTTTACCCTACCTCACTGCTACTGTTCTCTGCTCATGCTCAGCTCTACTCCACCTCGACGTTCCTCGACTCTGCCTGCCCGACTCTGCTCGTGATCTACTGTACTACTCTGCTCTACTCTACTCTCGTTCTGGCGGTGCGCTACCATCTACCCTACTCTAATCTGCTCGACTCTACCCTATTCTACCCTGCTCTGTTCTACTCAACTCTACCGTGCTATACTCTTATCTACTCTGCTCCATTATGCTCTACTCTACTCTGCTCTAACCTGTTCGAACCAATTATACTCTACCATCTTCCCTAGCTCTACCTTGCTCTGCTCAATCCTAGTCGACTCTACTCTGCTCCACTCTAATCGCCTGTGCTATACTTTCTTCTGCTTTGCTCATGCTCTGCTCATCTTTACTCTGCTCCAGCTCTACTCTGCTCCTACCCTGCTCTCCTCTACTCTACCCTGTAACGCCCTTCAATGCGGCTGAAAACAAGTGTACAATTTACCCCGTACGGCGCAGCGTTGCCCCTTCCCCCCCTGGCGCCCCTACGCCGTAATTCCACCCTCGAGGCTCTCGGAAGCTCCCAGAAGGTTCTCGCCTCCTGCTCCTTCTCCTCCTCCCCCCCTTCCTCCCCCCCCATTTCCTCCCCCCCCCTCTTCCTCCCCCCTCCTCCCCCTCTCGCCTCCTTCTCCTCCCCCCCCCCCTCCCCTCCCCCATCTCCTCGCGCGTGCCCGCGCGCCGAAGGTCTCCGCGCCTCGTTCGGCGCCTCTGCCCGATGCCGCTGGACTGCCGCGGCGGGCGCGACCAGGTCGGCAGCCGCCCCCGAAAGTGGGGGGCTTGGGTTTAGGGTTTAGAGTCTACAAGCTCTGCCGCAGCTGATCACCTCCTGCCTACGAGCCAACCTGCGGTGGCTGCCAGTCCCACCCGCAAGCCACCCTACCTTAAAGAACTTTCGGGGACCTAGAGAGTACTTCCTGGTTAAGGAAAATCTCATAGGTGTAGAAATACAGCTTTGTTGCAAGGGATGGCGAGGGTTTACAGCACGCATGGTCAGGAAATCATATCTGTTGCAAGGGATGGCGAGGGTTTACACCACGCATGATCAGGACATAATCTGTGTTGCAAGAAATGGCGAGAGGGTACAGCACGCGTGACCAGGAAATCGTATTGCTTGCAAGGGATGGCGCCGGTTTACATCCGATAGCTACCAGGAATCGTATTGTTTGCAGGGGATGGTAGGGTGCAGGAAGTTGGATGGACACCAGGAGGCGTGAGACCAGGATGTTCGGGTTTAGTAATCATAAGATTAGAGATGTAGGGTCTACAAGCTCTGCCGCAGCTGCTCACCTTTTGTCTAGGAGCCCACCTGCGGTGGCTGCCAGTCCCACCCGCAAACCACCCTACCATAAAGAACTTTCGGGGACCTAAGAGTACCTCCTGGTTAAGGAAAGTCTCATAGGTGTATGAGCGTCAGGAAACTAATATTTGTTGCCAAGGATGGCGAGGGTTTCCCGCACGCATGATCAAGAAACCATCTTTGTTGCAAAGGATGGCGAGGGTTTACAGCACGCATGATCAGGAAATCTTTTTTTTGGCATGGGATGGCGAGGGTTTACATGGCCGAGGCGTATGTTACCGTATGTACCCGTATGTACCCGTTTTTTCGGTGTTCAGGGTTTAGTAATGTTAGGATTAAGAATGTATGGGGTTAGGGTTTAGGGTCTAGGGTCTACAAGCTCTGCTGCAGCTGATCACCTTTTGCCTAGGAGCCCACTTGCGGTGGCTGCCAGTCCCACCCGCAAGCCACCCTACCATGAAGAACTTTCGGGGACCTAGAAAGTACTTCCTTGTTAAAGAAAGTCTCATAGGTGTATGAGCGCCAGGAAATAATGTGTTTTGCAAGGGATGGCGAGGGTCTACAGCGCGCATGATCAGGACATAATATGTGTTGCAAGGGATGGCGAGGGCTTGCAGCACGCATGATCAAGAAATCGTATCTGTTGTAAGGGATGGTGCCGGTTTACATCCAGGGTTGCCAGGAAATGATATTTTTTGCAAGGGATGGTCGGGCGCAGGAGTTCGGATGCCATAGGGGCGTATGGGGCCAAGATGTCCAGGGTCAAGTAATCATAAGATTACAGATTTAGGGTTTAGGATGGGGCGGCCAGCGCGGAGAGCGCGGCGCACCACAGTGGCAGCGGCAAGCGTGGACAGCGGAGCGCGAGACGGATGGGCAAGACCAATGAGAGATTTCATGCCCCTGGAAGCCGTCGCTTCGCACCACCACCAAGGGCGCCGAGCCCCCCGCGGCGGAGCGGGGCCGCCGCAGTTGCGAGGAGCTCGGCGTCGACCGCGAGACGATCGGCAACCATCTCGGGGACTTCATTAGCGGCCCCAGCCAGGAGGCGCAGTGGAGTGTTTAGCACTCTGTTTGGCTTCTTTCCTCCTACCTCTTCTCAGAATATGCGAATTCAGTTCTGCGTGCGGAATGCCCGCTCTCCCTTTCATCGCGAACCCCGCGTCCGCTCTGGTAAACAGGATTACCTCCGCCCCCTCCTTCGGGGTTTCAGTTTATCGCAGTCCAGGAGACTCGCGGATCGATCAAGGACATGCGTGACTTTCTCCACTTCAGTAACCATGAGTTTCAGAATAACTTCTCCGCGTTCGAATCCAGGAGAGAAGATGGCGCGGCTACTCTCTTCCCCTCCCCAGCTTCGGCGGCAGGGTTCGGGGTGGCATCGTCAGCATCGGGCATCGCTCTGGCGCGGGGCAGAGCTTTGCATGCCCGCGCGAAGTTAGGCTCGCGGCGGAGCGGGTGCTCAGACGAAGTCACCATCCACGAACGTTAACACTCACAACTTCGAGCTCTCTGCAGAAGAAGTCCGATCCATCGCGGACAGGATCAACGCGTCCCTGGCGCTGGCTCGTTCCTCTCCTCATGTTTATCCCGTGGCGGTGGCTGGCGACTTGAATGCCTCGAGCGAGCCGCCGTGCCCCGCCGTGCCCCCGCCAAGTTTTGCGCCCGCGCCGGCTGCGCAGGAATGGCGTCGCTCGCACGGGGCGGGTTGGAGGTCGACCTCGGGAACCGCGATCGGCATCGATCCGCGCGACCACGCGCGCAATGACATGACTTTCGTTCATGCCTCGGAAATCGGCAGGAATTTTCTCTCGGACCCGAGCTGGCAAATCCCGCGCATGTCGATCGCGGCCTCCACGATGGAGACTCCTGAGGCTTTTTTACGGAGAGGGATTTCAAATCATGTTGCATTTCAAGCTGTGCTTCTGTTTCGCCCTCCTCCTGATCCTGACTCTCAACCTGTTCCTCGTCATCTGTTCCAACGCCCTCGTTTCCGTGAATGTGTCATCGCTGCCTAAGACAACCTTGGCAAGGCAGCCCCCCCCCCCCCAACCACCCTCGAGTTCAGCGCGCGCAGAGGAGTCGCGCAAGAGGGTGCCCCAAGGGCTCGCGACAGTTTCTTCAGAGAGAACGCGAAAGACCCCAAACCTAATATCCGACTACTGCGTGCCATTGCTAGATCGGTTTGGCGCCGAGACTTCCAGGGCGATGCTAAGCTTCTACATTGCGATGATTGGCAAGAGTTTGGGGGCCTCGGCCTATCCATCTCCTGCTTCTCCATCCGCATGCGCGGCGAATTCTGCGCGTTGCTCGACCCCCTGCAGCTGGGTGGCGCAGAGAGTGAGCAAGAGGAAAAAAGGCGTCGCACGTCCGAGCTGTCGGCCCCCGCGAAGCTGGCGCGCGCCCGCCGTCGGCTTCGAGCTTGATCTCGGCGATCGAGTCCGCGGGCCCCATTCGACCGCGGGCCGCGCCTCTCGGGGGCGAGGATTGGCCAACACATCGTTTCGAAACAAACAGAGATCAGGGATGGGGTATCGGAACATTGGGGCGGGGTGTTCCATCGCGAGAACATCGACGCAGATGCAGCCGCCTAGTACCTCGAGCGGATCCCCCCCGACATCCCCCCCCGACTTGGGGCCGCCCAGGATCCGGGACTTCCGGGGGGCGCTTCAGAGCGTCTCCGAGTCTGCCCCAGGACCTGGCAGCATTCCGCACTCGGCCTGGAAGGCTGCCCCTCGCTCAATCGACATTGTGGACCGCGCCTGCTGGTGGCAACTCTTGGGTGACCACGCGCTGTTAGGATGCAACTCCCTCCTAGGCGTCTTCGTTTCCGAACCTGCTGAAGAAGATGAGAGCGGGTCTGGAAAGTGCGCCCGCCCTGCCAGCAGTCTACGCCCTCTAGGTCTGCAGACGCCAGATAACAAGCTGATCGCCTCCATTGGCTTCCGTCGTCTCTCGCGCCCTCCCTCAATGTCTGCGCGATATCCGCGCTGCTCTGTCCTGGAGCGAAGCTTCGGCCAAAACGCGGTTGAGCTGGGCGGCTGTGCGAGGTTTTTTCGGCGGACCCCTCGGCCATATCGCTCGCGCCGGCACTGGCGAGCTACGACTGCGGCGCAGCTTTCCCCAGGATGGCTCACGATAGGCTGCGCGTGGCACTGAGATCTTGCACGCGACCATCACTGTTATTGTTCTTCGTGGCTGAGATATACCATGGCGTCGTCTGCTATGCAGCTGTCTCATCTCAGGTGGTCGTTCTTTTCAACGTGCTGAGTGGCATCATTCAGGGGCGCCCTGGTTCTGGATATCTGTTTGCAATCGCTGCTGACCCATTCATCCAGGGCGTGAAGCAGCGCATGGGTGATCGTGGACTCGGGGTCGTTCGTGCCTGCGCGGGTGATGTGGGGGCTGCCGTCAGACAGATCACGGCCCTCAAAATCTTGGCAAGCATATCTCGTGTCGCCACACATGTGGCGTCGTTGATTCTAAAGCGCAGCAGGTGTGTCGCGGTCCCTCTCAGCGAGCAGTTCTTGGACAGCGTGGCGGCAGAGCATGGCTCTTGGATTCAGGCGAACGTGTCGTCGTGGACTGAATCCACCTTCCGAAACCAATTGAAATGCTTAGGCCTTCGGTCGGGGCCCTCGGTGACTACGGGGAGAGCCTTTCGCTAAATGGGTTGGCCGCGGGTTCCTTCTTGCTTCTCTGGGTGCTCCTGCTGGGATCGCCTCGCACCTTAATGACTCAAGAGTGGCCAGCGTCTTAGCCTACGTCGCCCAGTTCCCTCCCCCCCTCGCGACCTCCCCCGCCGAGAGAGTGCCACCGCCCGTCCTTTAAACGATCCCGCACTGTGCGCCCCCACGATCAGGCCAGCTATCTTTTCGACCGTGGGGCGGCCCCAAGTTCCACTGCTTGGCGTCCACGTGCCGCGCTTCTCTGATCTGCGTTGGCAGATCCACGCTGGACATCTGGCCACAAGTACTTGAGCAGCTGAAATCGGGGATGGACAGACCTCCCTTTAGCAAAACGTGGTTTAGTGAAAACGACCTCGGGCCCAAACCTGGCGGGCGCAAGCCTGGAAAATAACGGCCGCGGCGCCCTCTCGAGAACCGAAAACGGACAATTCACTAATCGACGTGTCACTATTGGGGGTTCTGTCCAGCCCCGATGAAAGCGGCTGCTCCTAGGAAGCAGGATGAAGCTTCTCTTGCCAATCTACCATTTCATCGTTTCTGCCCATCCTTCTGGAAGCAACCCGCTCTGGCCGAATCCCTGGTTGCGGCCTCCAGCGGTCTCCCGCAAGAGCTTCGACATGGTCGGATCACTTCGCCCCGCGCTCCGAGGGTGAGCTTGTCTGCCGCTGCTCGTGCTGCTCTCGACTCCCTCCGCCAGCAGACCATCTCCATCCAGAGCGACCAGCGATGTCGAATCCAAAGAATCGTGCCTCTTGCTATGCGGGAACGGCTCCACCCCGAATGTCTAGCTGGAACCTTCTGCCAACGGCTTGCGTCATAGCTTCCGGTCACTGTCAGAGATGCTCGTAACTTGCCATGGCCTGAGATTGAGGCCATCCTCGTCTCGTTCACCGTTGCCCGTTCAGTTGCTGCGCTCAAATTTCTCATGCACGGCTGGCCCACCGCGGCCAGGTTTCAACATGTCGAATCCTGTTGCCGCGGCTGCCGCGGCCAAGGCTCATACTCCCAAAGTCACGACTGGTCTTGTCCCATCTTCCCCTCGCTCCTTTCTCGTGTTGTTGGGCTCCTGTCCCTTGGTCCTTGTCCCATCGCCTGTCTTGGTCTCCTCGTTCTCCTCCTCCTCTCCTTCCTCCACTTACTCCCCCAATCTCATTTCCTCCCTCCCTCTGCCCTCCCTCCTCCTCCTGCTCCTCCTCCGCCGCTGCTTGTTGATCATTCACCTCCTCCTGCTCCTCCTCTTGCTCGTCCTCGTGACTCCTCCCTCTCCTCCTTCTCCTCTCCTTCTTTCTCCTCCCGCTCCTCCGCCTCCTCCTCCTCCTCCTCTTCCTCATCTTCTTCCTCCTCCTCCTCCTTCCCTCCCGCGCGATGGACCATATGACCTCCTGGGGCCTTTTGGGTCTTCTGGGAGCCTCCTGGGACCTCCTGGGGCCCCGTGGAGCCTTCTGGGGCCTCTGGGGCCTCCTCGTGCCTCCTGCCGCCTTCCGGAACTTCCTGGGGCTCCCTGAGGCACTGCGGATATAGAGGAAACCATGCGGATAGATAGACGAGCAGACTGGCATGAAGCGGACTGGAGTGCACTGAAGTAGACTGGACTGGGCTAGACTGGACTAGCCTGGGGTGGACTCGACTCCGATCTACACTACTCTACCCTATCCTTTTCGACTCGACTCACCCTACCACTTGCCCGACCCTCTACTCTACTCTATTCTGCTCTAGCCAACTGCACTCTACCCTATCCTACCTTAATATACTCTATCCTACGCGACCCTACTCTATCCGACTCTACTCTCCCATACTTCGTTACACTCTACTTATACTCTACTCTACTCGATTCGACTCTACTCCACTGCTAATGTACTCTGCTCCTGCTCAGCTCTATTCTCCGCTTCGACGTTACTCCACTCTACTCGAGTCCTACTCGACCCTGCTCGAATGAGCTCTACTCTATGATAGTGTAATGCACCCAGCTCTACTCTATCAGCTACCCTACTCTTCTCTACCCTGCTCTACTCTACCCTGCTCTACCCTACCCTACTCTACCCTACTCTAGCCAACTGCACGCCTAATATACTCTACTCTACTCTACTCTGCTCGCCTCTCTTACCGCCCCTACTCCACTCTACTCAAAATTAGCCAACTATACTCTATCAAACTCTAAGTTGCTCTACGTGACTCATGTACCTTTCTCTACTCTGCTCTACTGTCACCTCCTCGCTTCGACTCTACTCCACTCTACTCTACCCTACTCTGTTCTGCTATGCTCTACTCTAATGTATTATTCTTGACTCGATTGATCCACCCTGCTCTGCACTACTTTACTCTGTTCCAATCTACGCCCATACTCTATTCCCAAGTTTGACGATTATTGTGCGAGCGTTGGAACGCCATTCGACTGGACACGGAAAGCCATGCAGATGCAAAGGGAGCCACTCGGATACAGAGGAAATCATGCGGATGCAAGAAGGAAGCCGTGCGAATACAGAGGAAGCCATGCGGATAGCAGAGGAAGCCATGAGGATACAGACGAAGCAATGCAGGTAGCAAAGGAAACCATGCTGATACGGAAAGAACCATTGGGTTGGGACAGTTTGACCCGCGCAAGGGCGCATAATGTGCCTTTGGGATAATTTGACAGTGCAGTGCTAAGACAAACTGGGAGGGTGGATGGAGGGGGGGCAGTGGAGCAGTTCTCTATGTGCATTGGGCTGGGGATGCTACAAGCAAGCCGAGTTGGAGAACGCGTGAATCATATGGTTTGGTGGGCGCGCTCTTCCCGCACGCCTGCCTGGCCACGTTGGTGAAACTCCTGCGCACCACATGAAATTCGAACAGATCAGCCAGCGCAGACCACAAACATATTAGCAGACTGAAATTAAGTGGACTCGAGTGAACTAACGTAGACTGGGCTGGAGTATACTCGACTGGACTGGGGTGGACTCTACTCCACCTTTCTCTCCTATGTACCTGACTCTACTCGACCAGTTACCCTACTCTACTCTACTCTAGTCTGCCTTGCCCCCCTCCTCTACTCTACCTTACCCTACTCAGCCCTAACCTAACCTACTCTGCTGTACTCTACCCTGCCCTGCTCCACTGTACCCTGCCCTACTGTACCCTACCCTTTCATAGCATTACCAACTCTACTCCACCACCTGTCCAAGTCTACCCTACTCTGCTCGACTCGACCCTACTCTACTCAACCCCACTCTACTCAACCCCACTCTACTCTAATCCACTCTACTCCTGCTCTATTATTCCCTACTCATGTTCTGCTCACTCTTCTCCTATTCTAGTATGCTCTTCTCTCCTCTACTCGACTCTACTGTGCTCTACTCTATTATGCTATACTCTACTCATCTGTTCTACTCTTTCCTACTCAACTCTTCTCTGCACTACTCGACTCTGCCTTCGTATACCCGACATCACTCCACCATCTGCCTTACTCTGATCTGCTCTGCTCTACTCTACCCTACCTTACTCGTCCCTACCCTATCCTACCATATGCCCCAACCTACTCTACTCGAATCTTCTCGACCCGTCTCTACTTTGCTCTACTCCCACCCTGCTCCACCCTACACCTACTATACCCTATCCTACTTGACTCCATTCCTTAACACCACCCTGCTCTACTCCGCCTTACCCTACTCTACTCTATTCGATTATGCTCGACTCTACCCATCAACTCTTGTCTACTTGACTCTACTCTGCTCTACCATACTCTAATGTGAATAGCAATGGAAACCATGCGGATACAGAGGAAGCCACGCGGATAGCAGACGAAGCCAATCAGATACAGAGGAAACCATGCGGACACATAATAAACCGTGCGTATATATACCAGAAGACTGACCCGGGGTGAACTGAAATAGACAGGACTCGTGTGGACTGGACCAGCTGAGGTGGGCTCTACTCTACTCTGCCCAACTCTGTTCTGCCCGTCTCTATTCTACCGTTTACCGTATTCTACTCTGCTCTACCCTGTTCTGCGCTGCCCTGCTCTTCTCCACTCTACCTGCTCTAATCAATCCGTATTCCGTGTTCGTATATGCTGTCGTTCTGCCACCTGGCCAGCCGATAGCGACCCGATCTGGATGGTCCCGTCCTGCATGCCAGAGGCTACAGCACCAATGTCGCCCTGACATAGACGTCGGGTCGCCCATGTTGCAGGATGCGCGGCAGGAGGCGGGGCGGGGCGCACATCCAGCACGCGAGGCCGAAGCGTCGCTCTCGCCCTGGCGCTGCGCTCCGTTTTCTGGAGCATTGGGCTGAAGGGGCCCCAGGACACACAAATAAATACACACAAATAAAAATATTCCCAATATTTTTCCATATTTTCTGGGTTTTTGTCTTCCCCCCCACTTCCCATATTTTCCCATATTTTCTGGGGAATCGACGATTAATTGTGTCTGTGTGTTTTTTCCCCTCCTGATGGGCTCCCGCGGGGGCACGGCGCACACTTTTTTTCCGCACGGCCACTCTCGTCGACGCGCGAGCGGGCGAGGATGCAGCTCAGCGCCCTGGCGTCGCGCAGAGGAGGAGGAGGAGGAGGGGGAGGAGGAGGAGGAGGGGGGAGGAGGAGGAGGAGGAGGAGGAGGAGGAGGAGGAGGAGGAGATTTCGCCCGAAGCTCGCCAGTTTTGGGGGGCACGCGCGGGGGTCGACCTGTCGCCCCCGCCCGAGCTCCGTGCGCATTTTCGCCTGGGAGCGGTGCCCCGCGCGGGCTCGGCGCATGGCTCGTTCGCCGGGATCGAACGAAAGCGCCAACGGCCCAAGATGATCCCAACATGGCGCAGGACGGCCCCAGAGGAGATGGCCCCCAGAGAGCTCCAAGACGGCCCGAGGAGGCCCCCAAGACGGCTTCTGACGCCGTCAGACGGGTCAGCAACTCCCTGAGACGGGAGGCCCCCAAGAGGCCTCCACGAGCCCCCCCCCCCTGAATCTCCCAGGAGGCCCTGACACTGCCCCAAGAGGCTCCCAAGAGGCCTTACTATCCTTCTCATCCTCCGATAGCTTGTCCAAGCTGTGGCGACACCGTTCAGCCACATCGGCGCTTCTAAAAGGCAAGGGGTAGCGGTGATTCGCCGGAGGCGTCCTCGATATAGACGCCTTAACAATAAGCCGTTCAAATAAACACCACCATCGTCATCTTTCGCAACCGTAATATCAACACCTACATGCCACCAACATCATCATCATCATCAGCATCATCATCATCATCATCATCATCATCATCATCATCATCATCATCATCATCATCATCGTCAGCATCAGCATCAGCATCAGCATCAGCATCATCATCATCATCATCTTCTTCATTATCATCATCATGATGATGATGATGATCATCATCATCATCACTTCCACTAATATCACCATCAACATCACTATACACATCAACCTCATCAACCTCATCAACAACATCTCCATCGCATCATCATCGTCATCATGCCCACCACCATCACCGTCACTGCCCCAGCCTGAATCCCGATATTCCCCCGAAGCACTGTCCTGGCAGCGCGGGGCAACGATCGTCGCCGTCGCCGGAAGCTGCGGGTGCGGCTTCGCCGCGTGCTCCTGGGGCTGGAGCAAGCCGGGGCGCCCCCGCGTGCCTGCGCAACCATCGAGCGCTCAAGAGCCGCCGACGAACAGTGGACAGAGAAGGTTAGTGACGGCGCGCAACAGGGGGTGTGCTTTTCGAAAGGCTCGGAGGCTTCGAAGGAGGCGTACCAGAAGACAAGAGGGCTTCAAAGAAGTCTTCTGTCTTCTCAGAAGGCCGCACACCCCCTTCGGCCCATCCCCTTTCAGCGCCCAGCCTGCATGCGTAGCGCGCTGTCCAGGACTCACGAGCAAGGTGCTAGGCCTTGACAACTCTGGATGGCACGTCTTAGGGATGCGGGTACAAACAGGAAGAGAAGTGCTTAAAAGGTAGAACAGAGGGAAGGAGGGGGGAGAAATTGAGGAGGATGAGGAGCAAGAGAAGGGGAGGAGCAGGATTGCAGGAGGGGAGGACCCCGGGGAGCAACATGGGAATGGATGAAGTGTAGGAGGATGACAGGCGCAGGAGGGGGGAGTGGGGGAGGATGAGGATGTATTGCATGTAGGCACTTCTGCGCCTCAGCACAATGTTCATGATATATTTGGCCATTCGGCCAAATGTCAGCGTCCGCTCCGCTCAATCAGCAACACTGCGTGCAGTGGATCACCTGCTACAGCTTACTGATGAACTCCTCAAATTCCGGAGGTAACTTCGACATTGTCTCTTTTAAACTGACGGCCATGATTTGAGCACAATCGCCAATGTTGCAACATCTTGCATCGGCTGACAATCTCATATAGTACCATCCGGTTTTAGCGCCGGAATGCCAAGACAGGGCCAGGATCCATGACGCTATTGAGTACCACTCTACATCCATATTCCATTTCTCAACATCGACGGGGCCATCGCTGTCGAACATCATGCAAACCACGTTTTATCACAAGGGCACCATTGAGAGCACCTTGCGGAACAGGTTTGGAAGCCTCTCGGAAGGCTCTCGGCGAGGCACTATTGCTGGGAAGCCCACCGCCCCCCCTCCCCAAATCCGAAAACCTTCGGAAACCGTCGTCAGTAGTCGACGTCGTCGTCAACCTCGTCGACGCCACACAGCGGATCCTCCAAGGCGCGCGGGCGTGCCGCGTCCGTGTCCGGCTCCTGGCCAGCGGAATAGAAAAGGAGGAGCAGGCGGGAGATGATGATGATGATGATGATGATGATGATGATGATGATGATGATGATGATGATGATGATGATGATGATGATGATGATGAGCAGGAGGAGAATGACGAGGAGGAGGAACCGGGAGGACGGGGAGGAAAACCAAAGTTGACCGAAGGCGCATCAACGATGTTGCAATAAAACCTCCCTCAAAATTCCCTCTTCATAAGTCTTTATAACACTTTGCTTGCATAGCGGGAACTGCCCCGTTTGAAGACAACCGTCGGAGAACCCTCAATCGCGCCAGAACGCCAGTCTTGGCCGCCAATAAATGTGATTGTTGCGTCCTGACAATCCGAAGCTGTGCCATAACACTTTTCCTGGGACCTCAACACCGCAAAGCAACGTGATCGTTGCGTCCTGACAATTCTTAGTCGCGCCGTGCCATTCCGGGGACGTGCCCATACAACCCCTTGAAACTGTTGCAGACTTTTACAACGGATGTACGCGGCGATAGTGTTAGAGCCATACTCGGAAGAAAAAAAAAAACTACATCCACGAGTCTAGCATCGCGAAGACCGAACCGAACGCGGGGCCGCCCGACCCGATTTCCAGCTGCAGCAGCGTCGTAAGGAAGCGGCCCCTAAATCGAGGGGCCACCATCGATGCGAGCCTGCGCCTCCACTTCGCGCCCGTGCTCGGGGCCATGCCGACCTTGCAGGCGCAGGCCGCCCGAGGCAAGGGCCCTCGCTGCACGGCCTGCTTTGCTCCGTCTCTGGCTCTCCTTCCGCTTCGCGCCATCTTCAAAGCCTTCGCCGCCTGCCGACCAGCGCGAGCAGCGCGCTCGGCGCGCTTGCCGCCGCAAATTCTGCGGCCCCTGTCGATGCCCAAGACGGGCGCCTGGCTCTTCGCCCTGACCGTGATGTTGCGCGCCCTCAGTTTGAGCGACACCTCCTTCGCCGCGCCCGTGTCGTTGTCGATCGGGGCAGACTTGCTCGACGGCGCGAGCTTGGCCTGCCTGGCGCCCGTCGCGAAGTCAACGCCGGGCGCTGCGAGCTGCTTGGCCAACTCGAACCGCGAGCCCTCGATCCTCGTCGTGACGTCGCCCACCCGCGAGCGCGCTAACACCTGCAGGCACCTGCTGCCGGCCTTCTCCAGCGTCGCGTCGCGTAGAGCGCCACCCTGCCGAAGTCGATGCCTCGACGAGCACCGGCGCAAATCGATCGACCGGGAGCGATGGGCCCCGCGCGCGCCGCCCCCTCTCTGACGAGCCGAGCGCCCCAGCGACTCAGCATCTCCAAGCGCAAAGTGCGGACAGGGGGGCCCAAGTCTGAGCGGCGCCTCGTCCATGATGGGGATGGGCTCAAACGCGTCGTAGAACTCGGCTAGGTCCCTCAGCGCGGCGACAGCGCATGCCCGCGCGGGCGTCCGCTCCAGTACCTCGTCGGCGGACGAACGAAACAAAGCCTCCTCGAGAGCGCTGTCGCCCGCCACCGCGGCGCCCCGCCTGCCTGCTACGTGCTTCGCGCAATCGACGGTGCACTCGCTCCTGATATTGGGCCAGATCTCCATCGCCTCCGACAGCGGCCCTATCGCTCGATCGCCCCTGGCGTCTTCGCGAAGGAGGCCGACAAGCGTGGCCAGGAGCTGCCGAGGCCACGCGCCCGTGCTCTCCACCTTCGCGAAGATGTCGAGGAGCTCCTCCCTCGCGCCTGGAGGAAGCCACTTGTGACCCAAGGCCCCCCATCTGCTCGACGCCCTTTCGCCTTGCTCTCCGCCATGCCGTCGATCGCGAAGTCGAGGCGCCCCGTGGCGACGGGGGCCCACTCCTCCTCGAGCGCCGCAACTCTGGCATCCGCGAGCCTGTCCAAAATGGTGGCCCTGGCGTAGTTACTGGCCCACTGCTTCTTCTTCTACTGCGCGCCCTTCGCGTCCGCGTGCTCGAACATGTTGGGCGCGGCCCATTCGTCCATCTTGGCCTCGTTGACGCGCCCCAGCTTGTCCCGCGCGCGTCAGTGTAGCTTGCCGCTGCCGGGCGCCCCCCCGCGCCTCCGCGCGCTCGCCCGCCCTTGCAGCGGCCGCGGCTGCGATTCCGAGGCGCTGAAACTGCGCGGGGCTCAAGCCGCTGATCCCGCGCAAGGCCGCCCTCCACTCGCGCTTCTGCTTGCCTGTCATCTCGACGATGCCGCCGCTGGGAATCGACCCGCTCGCGGCCTCGACGCGGGCCAGGAGGCGCTGCCCGCGGCGCCCTTCTCCTCTCGGCGATGCAGCTCGACCGGGTTGGGCGACAGCGCGCCCCGCCGCGAGATAGGCGGGCCCATCTCGCACGCGACGTTGTCACCAATGCGCATGGCCCGGGCGGTGAAGCAAGCGGCTATACCGCCCCTGCAGAGCTTGCCTCTCCGTGGGCTCGACCTTTAACACGCCCACGTAGCGCTGCTCGGCAGCGCGAACCCACGCTCCGAAATCCGCGCCTAACACGCAGACGCCGAACGGGTCGAACTGGACGGACGCCGTTCCTTTGATGCAGTCGGGTGGTGACCTCCAGGAACGACGGCCCCCCCGCGGCGCCTGCTCGATCTCGAGCTGCCAGGTCGCGTCGCGCTGACCCGCTGGGAAATCGAAGACCGTCTCGGCCGTGCGCTTGACCTTCTGCGCGGCCTCCTGCTCGCCGTGGCCGCCGGCCTCCCCGACGTCCTCGCTGGTCTCGTTGCCGCCGAACAGGTCCTCCATCTCGCCGTCTGCGACCCTGCGCTCGTTGGGCAGGTCCTTGCAGCGGGCGCGCTCAAACCCATGGCTCCTCGCACCTGGAAGGGCGGGCAGCGCAGAAACCGGAAGCTCCGAGTTCCCCGCTGCGCACTCTAAGCCCTCGTTACAGCTCTCTGCTGATGTTCCTTCTTCGCCTCCTGTTTTGGCCGCTTGCTGTTGGGTTTGGCGTCCTCTTCTTCTTCGGCGCGTCTGGTAAGGGCATCGGCCTGGGGGGGGTGGGCGTTCTCATCAGCGCAGATTCCGTCTCTCTTCGAAGATGGAGCCCGACGCCGCAGCGGTCGCCTGGGCCCGTCTGGTCCGACACCACCTCCTTCAGAATGCGCTGGAAAGGCTCGGAACACAACGCGTAGTCGAGCATCCTCGCCGGGCCCCGCGCGCACGCGCGCACGCGCGCTGCGCGCCCGTCGGCGCGCGCGCCGCCGCGTCGAGCACCCCGATCCAGCCCGCCTGCTCGAGCTCGCGCCAACTCCGTGCCCCAGTCGCCAACTGCGACCCGTGGCCCAGCGCGTCCACGAGCGATCGCCGCCAGCCTCGCCACCCCGGCTCGGCCCCCGCCCTTCGCCCCGACGGTGGGGCGAGGCGCGTGCCGGCCAGGAAGACTGAGTGACCCTTTCACCTCCGTGTGATCGCTACCATATCCTTGATGTCGATCGGCCCTGGTGACCAGTCCTCGTCAAGCAGCCTCCGCCCGACGACCTGCACCTTCTTCGCAGCGAGGCGCCGCAATGACCGCGCGGCAAGATGAGGGCGCGCTGCACGCTCCGCTCGCGCGCTCTGCTGGGGCGGCGAGACCAGCGCCTCCGAGCCCTTGTAGTCCAGGTGCTCTGGGATATCTTTGCTGCCCACCGCCCCGACGTGCGCCGCGGGGGCGATGGGCACCGAGTCCATGAGCGACTCGATCCGCTTCCTCGGTCCCCAAGTGGAGAGGTTGTGAATGCAAATGCTGCGGCTATGATACCTGCGCGCTGCCGCCAGCCTTCGCGCGTGCCCGCGCTGCCTCCACTGCTGCTGCCAGCTCCCTCTTATCCTTCGCCTCCTTCTCGGTGAGCGCCTCAGCAGAGGGCGATGCAGGAGCTGCGCTGGCGCTGGCGCCCGCAGGGGCAACGCCTGCTGCGCCTTCGACTGCGCTGTGGGCGCTGGCCTGCCGTTTCTCGATTATGTTGGCGTTGGCTGTGGTTCCTCTTCCACTGGTGGATCGGCAGGGTCGCCGACCCTTCGCTTCTGCTTCTGGGTGCGCTCCATGAACTCGACCTCTTGCTGACGCTGCTGCTTGAGATTCCCTGCCGCCTCCGCAGAGGCTGCCTTGCCTGTCTCCTTCACCACTGCGACGTAGCCATGCTTGCGCTTCTCGATCCTCCAAGGGGGCGCCAATCGGGAATGAGGGTCGCTGGGGCTTGCCACGCGCTGCTTCTGCCGCTGCTGCTCCTCCGAGTGGGCGACGCTGACGTTCCGCTTTGACTTCGTCTTCGGCAGCGGCCACGTCTGCGCTGCGCACTGCCAGGTCATGCATACTCTGTTTGCCGTAGCTCGTCTCTGAACCGCTCCCGTCGCCGATATGTGTTAATTTGCACCGTCTGTACATTCTGAGCCCGATCCTCAGCAGCCCGCAGCGCGTCATGTGTACCAGGGGCGTGCTGCACTGCTGCTGCTGGTACTGGGCTGCCGCTGCCAAGATCTCGCAGAGGTGCTGATTTTGCTTGCCGCCCGCACTGGCCGCTGCCAGCTCGAGCAATTGCGCCAGGGAAACCTCTGAAAACGTCAACTGGTTGGCTCCTTTGGGTCCGCCGCCTTGTCCTCCTCCATGAAGAACCTTCCTTCGCTGGATAGGCACACCAACCCCAAGGATTGGCCAGTCACCGTCGTTACGTTCGCGAACTGCGTGAACCGCCCCCGATCCTCCTGGTGGTTCCACCCCTCTTCTGCTGGCGCCATACTTGCGCGTAAAACTCTCCGATGCGACCCGATCCGTGAAGAACCACTTGCCGCACTTCGGACAAAAGGCCTTCTGTCCACGTAACTGCTCGCCTCCGCCTCCTCCTCCTTGCTATTGTCTCCATGGCCACACTGCACACCACGGTCTGCGAATGGATGGGCCGCTGCCACCATGCGAGCCACCACCGTCACAAAATTCGCGAAGATGAGGAACCATGGCGGTGCGCAGTTGGATATGAAGCTCGACCTCGCGGGCGCGAGGAAGGCGTGGGAAATGGGTCCTGGTTGCTGGCCCTGGACCAACGGTATCCGTGCCTTGCCACGGGGCGAAACCATCTTCAGCCTAAATGGCTACGGACGATGACGACGACGACCAAGACGACGACGAAAACGACAACAATATCAACGACAATCATTTTAATACTGTTCGCCCATCTGCTCGCGTGGAACTTGTCTCACGTGTATCCAAGACCCCCGATACCCGCCCTCTTCGTCTTCGATCGTGCCCCCCTTCGGGGGGCACCTTCCCCAATGACCTGCCGCGCGTAATTGGCGCAACCGCTAAAACGGGGGAAGGAAGGGAGGATGAAAGGGGACGGGGAAGGATGGAACGCGATAGACATTTGTAGGTGAAGATTTCGGATCAGGAATACTAGCGGCAAAACCAAGCGGGTGATCGGGCGGGCAGACCCTAACGGACAAGTAGGGCGGGCGGGCACATACGGCCGGGTCGAGCGGGCGGGTCGCTGAAGCGTCAATCGAAAATGAATGGCAAGGAAGGTTCGAGCGACAGCGCGATCCTCAAAGAAACCAAACGTACATTGTCAGGATATATCAAGCGGGAGCCGCTGAATTCTGATTTCTCATCAATTATCGTCGATATCCCCTTCGGGTGACCACTGAACATGTTTAATCAGCATGCTCCTTCCGGGGCTCGCACCATGTTTTTATCAGGCAAACCTTGTTGCCAGCAAGCTGCGTTGTTGGGTTCCAAACTACAGCATCAACGGCTCCCGCCTGGTATTTCCTTTCGATGTATTCCAAGATCGCGCTCTCGCGCGGGACCCCCTCAAAATTTAAACGGGAATCGCACTCTCGCGTGGGACTTCATCGCAATGTATTATGACGCTGCGCTCTCGAGACTCAGGAATCACGCTCCCGCGCTGGCCTTTTTCACGGCTTACTTGGGCATCGCGCTATCGTTCGAGGCTTCCTCGCGACTCATGCAGCTTTACGCTTCAACAGCCGGCCTGATCGACCTGGCCGCGTGGGCCCGCGTTCCCGACCCGCCCACCTGGATCTGCCCACCCGATCTGCCCGTCTGGTTCTGCCAAGTGTTTTCTGTTCCTAGCCCCCCTTTTGCTAATTTCTCTCGTGCTACATCCTTCACCCTCCTCCTTCCGTCCGTCCTCTCTTCCCCTGTTTCAAGGGCTGCGCTAAATGCAAGTGGCAGGTAAGAACAATATACCCCCAGGGGTGTACGTCGAAGACAAAGAAGGCGGGTATCAAAAGGTTTGGGATACACGTGTTGAATGGGACGCGAGCAGATTGGACCGAACAGTCTTAAAATTATAGTCGTTGTTATGTGTGTTGAAAGCCGGGAGCCACCCAATTTGATAAGGAATCCGTTCCCTGATAAAAAGCAGGGTGCGAGCCCGAGAGGAGCACTTTCATTGAAAGACACAATGTTCACCGGGCAGGGGGACCAACAAGCATTATTCGTTAGAAATCATAATCCAACAATAACGCAACAACATTAGTTTCGAAACTGTTCGCTCTTATCTGTTCGCGATACCCGCCCTCTTCGTCTTCGATCTTCCCCCCTTGGGGGTATATCTTATTTGCCAGCCGCGCGTATTTGGTGCTACCCCTGAAAAAAGAAGGGAAGACGGACAGAAGGAAGGAACAATGGGGGAGGGAGAAGCATGGAGCACGAGAGAGAGTAGCAAGAGGTGGGATAAGAGCAGAAAACACGTGGCAGCAGTACAACAACACTCCGCACCGCAGAACCCAACTTCAGCCACGCTCCCAGGACCAGTGAATGACCGTTTGGCCCCTCGCTTTGATCATACTTTCTGAAGCTATGAGTTTCAACAGCTACCCAGATGGAAGGCGTTTCTTTTTGCGAACCCGAGCTCTTGTTGGAAGCTTCTTCACAGTTTGCTATCCTGCAGCTCATACTTTCTAACGAGAATCACACGGGTGGGGGGTAGTGCGCAGGAGCGCAAGCAGTGCCTTACGACGATGGAGCCTGGGAGGGGAATGCCCATTGCATCATCAATGGTGTGCTGGGCTATATTATGGCCCGTCTTTTGGCGGCGCGAAGAAGGGGGCGGCGCGAAGGGGGCAGCGCCTTCTAAGTCAGCGGGGATCTTCTTAGAAGAAAGGGGCTTCTCAGAAGGGCCTGGGGAATTCTCAGAAGCCCCATTCCTTTACAGAAGCCCCCCCCGGCCTTCGTTACAATCAATGCCGCCCGTCCCCTTCGCGCCGACCACTGTTTGCGCGCAGCCAGCCTTGCTGCTGCTGCTGCTGCGCACTTCCCTGCAAGACTACGTGTCTGTGGTGTCCACGACAGCGTTGTGCAAGACGGCCGCGGGGTGAGCAAGGCATCGGCAAGGCAGACAACGGAGCGGCGGCGGCGACATTCCGCGACCCACCCTCCTCCTCCTCAACCTCCTCCTCCTCCTCCTCCTCCTCCTCCTCCTCCTCCTCCTCCTCCTCCTCTTCCGTTCCGGCCTGTGCGAACGCTGGCCCTCCGCGGGGCGCGGCGGCCGCTCGCCAGACGACGCCCGCGGCGGCCGCGGCGGCGCCGGCGAACGCTGGCCCTCCGCTGGGCGGGACGAAGCCCGCGGCGCCGGCGGCAGTGGCGGCGCCGGCGAACGCTGGCCCTCTGCGGGGCGCGGCGGCAGCTCGCTGGTCGACCCCCGCGGCGCTGGCGGCCGCGGCGGCGAGCGCGAGCGCGGGCGCGCGCGCGAGGGCGATGACGGCGGGGACCTGCGGCGGGCGCTGCTGCGGCAGGGCGGCCGCTCGCTGGGCGTTGCCCGCGGCGGCGTCGGCGGCGCTGGCGGCGTGGGCGGGGCTGGCGGGGCCGCCGGAGAGGGCGGCGCTGGCGCCGCCGGCGGGTGCGCTGGCGACCGCGAGCGCGAGCGCGGGCGTGGGCGCGAGGCCGAGCGGCGGCGGCCACTGCGGCGGCGCGGCGAGCCTGGGCGTGGGGGCGGGTCGTCGGCCGCATGGGAGCGGGGCGGGGGTTTCTTTGCGGGGCATCTTTGGGGGGAGGGCGAGGAGGAGGAGGAGGAGGACGAGGAGGAGGAGGAGGAGGACGAGGAGGAGGACGAGGAGGAGGAGGAGGAGGAGGTCCCCCTTCAAGGCGGGTTTGCTACCTGACTTTCCCCTTTCTCTCAGCTCTTGGTTACGAACTTCTGGAAATATGACTTTGATGTTTATTGATTCCTTTACAATTTGTGCTAACAGTCGTAGTATCCTGGTCTTTCATGCCGTTTGGTTTGTCCATCCAGAACTATCGTATCTGAACGCCCTACCCCGTGCGTTTCTCGTGTCGAATGTGTGTTGCCGCCGCTTCGCCACCCACTCAGGGCCCTGGCAAATGATTGTTCGGTGTGCTACGCTTTCAGGGCACGTTGGATATGTTGACGCCATGATACCGTTTATTATGAGCATGAACATACTTTCGACCACTGTTCCAACTTCGCTTTCCTCGTAATGTGGGCCCTTCTTGATGCGAACTTTCTTGAAAGTCTCCCCAGGCTGCATTCTAATGTCTGCCATCATGGTCAACCATCTTGTATGGCATGTGTCCAGCAATTCGCACACGTGCCGCGACGGCGACCATGTAGCGGATCTTGATCGTATGATCCCCAATGCCGTTTGATTCATGAACTTTGCCCGGTGCGTCAGATCCAGCTTTGGTTGGTGAGCAGGCGGGAGGTCTTGAAGTATGCCTTGTATATGGCGCTGGTCGTCTTTTCGATGTCATCCTTCGGGCTGCCGGTGCATGACACCAGAGACCCGAACACACCATGACCGGAGTAAGACACGCATGCTGCTTTGATGATACCCCTGCTGTCGTCCTTGATCTGCAGCCCGTGATGTTTCCCCCGTGAGGAGGAGAAGGAGGAGGATGAGAGAAAGGAGAAAAACAGGGATGATGATGGTGATTCTGATGATGATGATGATGAGGAGGAGGAGGAGGAGGAGGAGGAGGAGGAGGAGGAGGAGAAAAAGGAGGGGGAAGAGGAGGAGGAAGAAGAGAAGGAGGAGGAAGAGGAGGCGGAGGAGGAATATAAACAAATCCCAGGGTGCTCTGGACAGAGCCAATCTTCAGGCAGAGTCGACGAGGCGCAATAAGGACTTCCTGGCTGTGTGGCTCGCGGGCCATTGATTGGGCCTCAGCTGCCCGGGAAAATCCGAGCGCCCCCAGACTGCCTTCGGCGAGGCGCACATGCCCGAGAGCACCCCGAGGCTGGGGGGCCACTGCAAACTGGCAGTCGCCCCAGACAGAACGTCTAAGATTTGTTTCCCAACCATCCTGTGGTGTTGAGTCCTCGTTTTGAAGAGACAGCGCCCCGCGTTCCTCTCCTCTCCTCTCCTCTCCTCCTCCTCCCTCCTCCTCCTCCTCCTCCTCCTCCTCCTCCTCCTCCCCTCCCCTCCATCACCATCACCATCACATCATCACCATCATCACCATCACCATCACCATCACCATCACCATCACCATCACATCACCATCACCATCACCATCACCATCATCATCATCATCATCATCATCATCATCATCATCATCATCATCATCATCATCATCATCATCATCAACATCATCATCATCATCATCATCATCATCATCATCATCCCCTCCCTTTCCCTACACCATCGTCACCATCATCACCATCACCCATCATCCATCAGCATCATCATCTGCAGCATCATCCTCATCCACATCCTCCTCATCATCGTCACCATCATCGTCCCCACCGCCCATGTCGTCACACCCCTCACACGTTTCGTGGCCCCACAGAGAGCCCCACCTAAGGCCAGAGTGGCGGTGTTCGCATGCGTCTCCCCCACCCAGGACAGCGCTTCATGGCCCCATAGGGAGCTCCACCGAAGGCCCCACTGGGGGTGTTTGCATGCGTCTCCCCCACACAGGACAACGCTTCGTGGTCCCATTGTGAGCTTCACCGAAAGCCCCAGTAGGGGTGTTCGCATGCGTCTCCCCCACCCAGGACAGCGTGTCGTGGCCCCGTAGGGAGCTCCACCGAAAGCCCCAATGGGGGTGTTCGCATGCGTCTCCCCTACCCAGGACAGCGTTTCGTGGCCCCATAGGGAGCTCCACCGAAGGCCCCATTGAGGGTGTTCGCATGCGTCTCCCCCACCCAGGACAACGCTTCGTGGCCCCATAGGGAGGTCCACCGAAGGCCCCATTGAGGGTGTTCGCATGCGTCTCCCCAGCCCAGGACAGCGTCTCATAGCCCCATAGGGAGCTCCACCAAAGGCCCAAATCGGGGTGTTCGCATGCGTCTCCTCCACCCAGGACAGCGTTTCGTGGTCCCATTGTGAGCTTCACCGAAGGCCCTAGTAGGGGTGTTCGCATGCGTCTCCCCCGCCCAGGACAACGTTTCGTGGCCCCATAGGGAGCTCCACCGAAAGTCCCAGTGGGGGTGTTCGCATGCGTCTCCCCCACCCCAGGACAGCGCTTCGTGGCCCCATAGGGAGCTCCACCGAAGGCCCCATTGAGGGTGTTCGCATGCGTCTCCCCCACCCAGGACAGCGTTTCGTGGCCCCATAGGGAGGTCCACCGAAGGCCCCATTGAGGGTGTTCGCATGCGTCTCCCCACCCAGGACAGCATTTCGTGGCCCCATAGGGAGCTCCACCGAAGGCCCCAGTGGCTGGATTCGCATGCGTCTCCCCACCCAGGACAGCATTTCGTGGCCCCATAGGGAGCTCCACCGAATGCGTTGCTCACAGAGACGGTACTCACAACTGCATATGGTAGGGTCCTTCGCCAAACTAATTTGTTTTTTTGCATCGCGACGCCGACTGATTCAACCACGTTGCCTGCAGCACGCGCCGGCCAGGGCGGACAAATCCCGCCCTTCCAAGACAGACAGACGCAGACAACAATTGTTTGAACAGTGAAACGTAAGACACCAACGAAAGAAAACAAGCTGGTGCAGGCCCCAGATTCTGCGACACGCTTGATGGACAGAACGTCTAAGATCTTCGGGGAAAAGGGAATTTCGGCCACCCCGCCGTCCCCCTTCGAAAGCCCAAGGGGGCCTTCGAAGACCGGGCGGGGACGTCGCGCGTCCTGTCCGTCGCGCCGCCTGCGGCCAAACAGCGCCATCACCCGGTCCTGCCACCCAGCGATCTCAGCCTGAGGAAGGGGGGAAAAGAAGGAGGCGGAAAAGGAGGAGAAAGAGGAGGAGGAGGAGGAAAAGGAAGAAGAGGAGGTGAAGGAACACAAATACTAATAATTCGAAGAAGAGGAAAACATGGAGGAGGAAAGCAAAGAAACCTACGGGGAGGAGGATCAGGGTGATGATGGGGGTGATGGGGAGGAGGACGAGGAAGGGGGGGAGGAGGAGGACCAGCGTAAACACAAAACTCATCAACGATGTTGGAATAAACCCTCCATCCGAGGTCCCCTTCATGGGCCCCTACAGAAGTTCGTTTCCACTGAAGAAATCGCCCCGCTGTGAGACAACTGTTTGAAGATCCTGAAGCGCGTCAAAACACCATCCTCACGACTCCAGCGCCAGCGCCACGAACCAACCTACTTGTTACTCTTTGACGATCGTGAATCGTGCCAAAACATATCCATGCGACTTTCACACCACAAATGATGGCAACTGCTGCGCCCTAGCAGTCCTGAGTTGTGAGAAAGTGCAGAATCTGATACGCTGGCCAGGGAAAGCCGATCAAACTCGGCAAATGTTTGAAACGAGTGTGCGCGGCGCTCAAGCGATAACGACGCGTTGAAAACAATCCGCTCTCGACCCGTAAGACGCGCGCAAACTGTTTGAGACGAACATGCTCGGCGCTCATGGGACATCCAATGTTTGAAAACGACCTTCCCTCAATCCGTGAAGATCTTGCTGCTTGTTTCAAAAAATGCACGCGGCGCTAGGGCGAGAACGACATTTTGAAAACCACTCGCCATCAATATGTAAGACTGTTGCCGTGACTCAAGTTTCAAGATCATAAGCGGCAAGCAACTTGAAGCGAAGCGCGCGGGCCGCCCTTTCGACCGGCCTCGGGGCGCGACAGGGACGAGTTGCAGATAGAGGGAAAGAGAAGGAGAAAGAGGAGGAGGAGATGGAGGGGGAGCGCGGCGCCTCGCGCGAGTCTCCCTAGCGGCCGCGGGGGCGGCCGACGAGCGACAGCGCGGCGCCCTCACGCCGCGATGGCGGAGAGGGCAAGGTCGAGGACAGAGTGGAACAAAACCCGCTCGCAGAGGAGGAGGGCCAGGGGCGCGTCGACGTAGGCCAACACGCCGCCGACGAAGCAGGCGCTGCCGCCGAAGAAGACGATGACGGGGCGCTGATTATCATTTAACCCTATCGATTAGCTACTTCTTCTTGGGTTTTGGGGGAAATTCGAAGGTTACCTTCGAATTTCCCAGGAATCTCAATACGTTCTGAAACAAAATTTAATGCACTATTATTATTCTGGGGCTGGCCTGGGGCTTGAAATTACAAGGTAACCCTGAAATTTCCGAAGAAGAATAAAAGCTTCAAATTATTATTCTTGGCGTGCGCGGTCCTGCTGCTTTAGCATGGAGGGTGAATTTGAGGCGCGCAACGTAAATTATTCTTGGCTGGGCGGGTGGCAAGGAGGGTTTCCCTGAATTTGCCGGTGGGGGACAGCCTATCGGGGGAAGCCTATGGAAGCCTGTGAAGGGCGGCCTGCGAGGGGCAGACTCTGGGAATCCTTGGGGATCCCTTGGGCATCCATAAGGAATTTCTAAGGAATCCTTAGAAATCCCTAGGGCATCCACAAGAATCCCAAGGGAATCCTAAGGAATCCCGAGGGCATCCCTAGGAATCCCTAGGGAATCCTTAGGAATCCTTAAGGGCTCCTCAAGAATCCTAAGGGAATCCTGAGGGATCCCTTGGGAATCGTCAGGAATCCCTAAGGAATCCTTTGGAATCCCTAACGTGTCGTTAAGAATTCCCGCGGACTCCAGAAACCCTCGGGAATCCTTATGGCCCCCTCGGGAATCCAAGAGAATCCCTGCGGAATCCTTGGGATTCAAAGCGGAATCTTCAAGAGCCCCTCGGGAATCCGGAGGAATCTCTCGGCGCACCGAAAGAATCCCTTCGGAAATCCTCCGGAATCCTTCGGGGATCCTGCGGGGTCCTCAGGGAATCTTTCGGATTCCCTCGGGGCTTCTTAGGAATCCCTGGTGAATCCCCAAGAATCCCTAGGGCGCCCTAAGGAACCCCAAGGGGAACCTCAGGAATCCCTAGGACATGGCCCGGCGCCCTCCGAGGAATCCAGATGACTGCCACCTTGGACGTTTTCCATGCAGCGCATGCACGCCAGGTGACCCACGAAGGGGTGGGTCACCAGAACACTGGTTGAGAGAAACAAATTGCTTCACCTGCATCCTGGGCCTCGTCATGAGGCGACGCACTGCCACTCAATATGTTTGCCATGCGGCGCAAGCACACCAGGTGACCCACGAAAGGGGTGGGCCACCAGAGAACTGGTTGGGAAAAACCAATGGTCTCACTTACATTCTGGGCCTCAACATGAGGCGAAACAT